CCACGTCTACGCCTGGGCTCCCCCGACCTTCTGACCCCAGCCCTTGGCCGGCGTCCCGCCCCCACTCACTGCCACCGCGGGCGGGACTTCCCGGACCACGTGGGCCGACTCAGGGGAGCGCAGGTGCCCCGCGAGAGCCGGCCCCGCCCGCCGCTGATTCCCTAATTACCGGGCTGTGACACGGTGTGGACCGAGCCGGATTTGGGGACCGAGCCGGATTTGGGGACCGAATCTTGGAGCAGCTGCGGCAGCGCTGCGCTCCCTCGGGGCTGTCCGTCGAGGCGGGGAGGGCGGCCCTGCGCCTGGGGGAATCGCGCTTGGCCTCACGCCCACCTCTAGCGGCCAGGTGCGCCTTGCACGCCCACCCCCGGCCTCGGGTCTGCGCCTGGGATCCCAAGGTTGGCAGTGGAGGGAGGCCCTGGTGGCCCGGGGTTCCTCGAGGGGTCCGGGAAGTGGTGTTTTTCGCACCCCACAGGCTGGAGGACCCGGGGAGTTGGGGGAGGTGGCCGAAGCCACAGGAGCGGACTTCGTAGTGTTTGTTGGAACCGCGGGCCCCACCCAGCCCGCACTTGCTGACCTGGTGGCTGCTCATCAGCGCCTTCAGGCCTCAGATATCCCAACAATGTGCCGTGCGCCCAGTTCTCACTCAGCTCTGGAGTCACTGTCAGTGAACTGGCAATACACGACCAGCTGCTCTAACCTGCTGGCCCCCCTTTTGTTTTTCTGAGATAGGGTCTCATTCCGTCCCCCAGGCCGGAGTCCAGTGGGACTCACGGCTCACTGCAGCCTTGACCTCCCAGGTGCAAGCGATCCTCCCACCTCAGCTTCCCTGGTAGTTGGGACTACAGGTAGGTCCCGCCACACTCCTTTTTTTTTTTTTTTTTGGTAGATGTGAGGTTTTGCCATTTTGCCCAGGCTGGGTCTCAAACTTCACCTGCCTCGGCCTCCCAAAGTACTAGGATTATAGGCGTAAGCCACTGCACCTGGCCCAGCCATTGTTTTCTGAGGTTCAGTCCCTGTTTATATTCCTATGTGGATCACCTGACCCAGGGTCGGTGTGGACCTGAGTCCCCTGCAGCCCTTCCCCACACCCGCATACCTGCTCTCTGGTCAGGACTCCTGGGACCTGAATCCAGAGACCCGAAACACGGCCTGGCCGAGTCTTCCTGGAAAACACAGCTCTTCTGTCCAGTACCACAGTGAAGTACAGGGCATCAAGGGCGACTGGAAAGGGAAGCAAGGATCATGGGAACTTGGGGGATTTCTTAAGCTCTGTAACTTCTCCCCGGGTTATTTTGCAAACCCAACTGTTTTGAAGTGACCACCAGCCACACCCACAGAAGCGGCCTTGAGCTGCCCAGTTCTTTTTCTTTAGGGGGGAGAGAGGGGCGGATAAGATCATTAACATAATAATGCTTGAGCTGAGTTTTTGGATATGATCATTAGCATAATAATGCTTGATCTAGATGGCACACACACAAGCCAGGCACTGAGCCAGGCCTCGGTAGAATCTTCTAGAATAGAGGCAGTCACCCGCTTCTGCAGAGGCATCCAGTGACTGTCGTGGGCCCCAGGTCACACAGCAGGCGCCCTTCGCGTGTCCCACTGTGTAGGAGCTCCAGCAGCTGCCCCGTCTGTGGCATGGAAACCCTTTGTCTACCCTGGGCCTGGGCACTGCCTGCAGGAGAGCTTCCCCATTTCAGAGATGAGAAAACAAAACCAGGGCTGTGGTTTCCTTCAGCTGACAGGTTGTGCAATTTCTCAGGGCAGGCCCCAGATATGACCCTGAAGATTCAGGGGCCAAGACCTCACACCCACAGCTCACCCCAGGCCTGACCGGCAATAACTAAGGCCAAAGCTGGGAAGGGCTGCTTAGGGCACCCGGAATGGTGCTGGAGGCAGTTTTGCTTGGGCTGAGATCAAAGGGAAGGGATATCCCAGCAGCAGGAACCGAAGGGCCCAAGGCTGTCATGGGGGCTGGGGCAGGAGTAGAGGGTCCCTACCAGATGGTGCTCAGGAGGAGGGTCTGCCTCCAAGCGATTCAGGGTCAGGAAAGGCCCCCTCCTGCCTGACCAGGCCCCGGGGATGGGGCAGCAGTGCGTGGCATCCCCTGCCCTGCCCTTCCTCAGCCCCAGAGCTGCCATTGCTCAAGGTGGCGGTGGGCTCTTCACATAACTTTGCATTGCTTTTCGCTTTTTTTTTTTTTTTTTTTTCCTGAGACGGAGTCTCGCTCTGTCGCCCAGACTGGAGTGCAGTGGCCGGACCTCAGCTCACTGCAAGCTCCGCCTCCC